TATGCAAACACTGGACTATTTGCATTCGTTTGTAGCGCCGGCGCACCATAACCGCTCATCTCCTTGCCAATAGCGCCATTCGCTGTGGTATCGCTCGTCACTGCATTATCATCTAAGCGATACTCACTCGGCATACTTGTAGCGATTATATGTTCCATTTGCTCCTGCAGCAGTTGATAGAGTGGCGGCGCTGTATCGTTGTATGGCAGCGTTTCGCCATCTGGCACATACTGATTGTTAATGTAGGCGCTTCGCCCGTCTAAATCGTTTGTGCCAACTGGTGTGACCGCGCGTCCTTCGTCGGCTGGCTGCGCGCGCGCAGTGGACTCATCGGCGTGCACCAGTCGCGGCGCTTGATGTGTATTAGGGGGCGCATTTGTGGAGGTTATGGCGGTGGCAGCTCCCTCAGTCGTTGTAGTAATATTCCCTGTCACTGGCGCGCTGTTGGTCGAATTCACCGCCGCCGCTGAAGACTCCAAGGCTACTGCGCGAGCTGCAGAAGAAGTGATATGTTAGGTAAAAAAGTAGGCAATTTTTAACCACACCCACTGCGAACTTACACACGCAAATTATGCAAAGTAATAACGGTGTTGTACTGATAATTCTTGTAGCCATTCTGTTAATGTATAACTGCGCCGGCGCCGCTAACACTTTTATACCAAGGCTATGCCGATGTTCCCTTGCTCCAAGCAAAAAAAAAAAAAATTAAAACTGTGCCTTTCTAATGGGAAAAGCAGCGTAGCTATTCTCAAGCTTTGCGGTGACCCGTCCAAAACTTGCGCTAATGCAAGTGGAATTAATAAATTAAAATAAAATAAAATAACTGAGCCGCGGTGTAGCAAATCTCTCAAATACTCCCTTTTAATGAGATTCTCATTAAGCGGAGTGATCTTCAATTCTTCATGTGGCACACACAATCCAAACAATCAACGTGCCGCGTCATTGCGCACAATCATTCATTCATACTTACGATTACTACCGATCGATGGCATATCGAATCGAGTTTAATCTTTTTGTGGTTGTGGGCGAGAAAGTTTACGCTGATGGCTCAATTGAAATATAGTGGGCACTTCTGTGTAGCCCTAGGTTCTAATTTTGCTTTCATCTGCTCATTACGCTGCTGACGTTGGTAATGAAATTGAATTATTAGCCGTTGCTGGTGCTTATGAGACTAATAAATAGAAAGCTAAGTAATTAAGATGAATCGATTGTGGTTTACCGGCAAGCTTCGAAGCGTAAATGCATTTTCATTGACAAATACAACGATTGCACTGGCTTGGACTTGTTGCACAGAAAATATGCGCACGATTACAGTGGAAGCACCAATGTACCGGAGCACCTGTATGCACTTGGTATGAGCAACAGGCGAATCTTCGGAAAGTAGAGCGAGTGTCAATTGCGGAGTTTTTCGGTATCGGACCAAACTGGTATGGGCAGAGGCTATAATCATGGCTGGTTATCCAAAGAACTACCTTCTTGAGCTCAACAGATCGTCACCTGCCTTTGCACTGACATTATTATTACTATTTTTGTGAATAAAATACTGCGACCTCAAGATCTATTGTGCCCCCTTCACAGATTTGTAGTGTGTATATTAACTCAGTACCCGAGAGAAACTTCAGAATGGAGCCTAAATCTACAGATTTTACTTCGTCCTCGGTTATTAAATGTTCACCGAGGTATCTTTTGTGTTTTTGTATTAGTACAGGACATTCTTCTAAGATGTGCTGTGCAGTCTCGATATTCGTCCTGCAAAATCTGCATCGCTCCTGCGAGTAAATTCCCAGTTTAGTCAGGTGATAGTTCAGCCTACAATGTACTGTCAGGATTTTTGAAACAATTTTTAAGTTATTCTTGGATAAGCTCATAGATTCCTTAAAGAGTTTTAGTTTATATGTTCCTAAAAGTGCTTTGGGGCAGAGAGTGCCCCTTTTCTTTAGGCACAGCAGGGCTCTGGGCCGATGAAAGGAGTTAATGCTCCTCAAAAATCTCGTTTACTTGAATACCAATATGTCCAAAAATCCAGAGACCCCAAACTCGATTGGTTATACCAAGAGTATTCAGCTTGTCGAAGCACTCCATTATGGTGAGATGTGAGGGACCTGATAGCCGCTTGGCCGGCAGTCAAGATCACGATATTCTGACTGCGGTAGTTTCGCTTGGTGGTGGTCCGCGCTTTTTTCTATAGCGTATGTTTCAGTCTAGAAAATGAACATACGCTTTTCCCGTTTCCGAGTATCTTAACCCCGATCCAACAACGCCTACCCCGGTACGCTTTCCAGTCAATGAGCCATCAGTGCACCAGGTTATCATGTTTTGGTTTAGCTCGTGCCATAGTCTACGAATATCGACGTGACTATATGCAAATGTCCTGAAATCTCAGGAAAAATCGTTCTCCTGAATCACTGATTTCAACCATATACCCCGTGGATATCATTGAGGCGTGGTCGACGCTTGGTGTGTGGATTATGGTCCGGTTTATTTGAAAATTAAAGCTGTAGAAATTTAGTATACGAGAAGTGAGAGTTGCAGTCGCGGTTTGCGCTTGGCCTTCTCTGAGCGTACGACCCGAATGTAGTCAAAAATATCCCTTCTCTATGTTTTCTCGGTGAGACAGATCCGAGCGTGCTGGACAGAAAACCATACGTAGCGCAGTTTCCTGTAATATCCTGGAAGCCATTTAAGTATGACTTGGAAATAATCAGAGGCAATTGAGAGAGAGGCCAGGCATACCCCAACTAGCTTCAAGGGGATTTATTTTGGAACAAATCTCCGTCATGCATTTTCATTTTCAAGTAGATGTTTACCTCATTTACCGTTCTGACGTAATTGGGCAGCCAGTTTATTGTTTCTTTAATAGCAGCTACCTCTGTCTGAAAAACACAACAGTCATCGAGAAGGCTTAATATAAGGTTGAAGGAAAGATCCCGAAAAACTACCCATCCATTAAGCGTTCCGTCAAGCTTGGACTCATCCAAGTAAAAGTTCACCGGTGCCTATTTCCAACTTCTGCCTCGCGTCCACTCATCCCCAGATGGTATGTAAGTGGAGCTAGAGTTCAATGGTGCTAAAAATATTAAATGGAGTGTCCAAATCCAGAGCCAGTTAAGCACTCAGGGCCTCCAAATCTGACCGCAGCTCCTACTGCAGCAGCCTGTGGGATTGGTCCTAAGTACCCAACTGATTCCAATGAGGACTGCCCGATGTACCCGCTACAGCTCTCTGACTAGTGTATTCTTCTCTAGACGATTCCTCCAGACGAAGACTCTATAAAGTACTTGAGCGCCAGTCGAATGTCTTCCATTGGCAGAATGCACAAAATGAGTTCTGTCTTACTAGGATTAACAGCGAGCTCACTGTTCGCTGACCACTTAATCATCTGAGTTACTTGATTCTGTAATATATGTATCATAAAGGATATCTGGAAATTCGCTCGGCAGCCTTTACCCATCAGCTTCTCTAGCAGGCCGCATCCGACCACAATCCAAATAAGCGGTAAGAGAACACTACCCTGAGAGGTGCCCTTGTTTAGTCTAGTGTCTCAGAGCATGCGGTATACTTTGAGCTTAGTTAAGTCACTTGGGACTCCAAGTATAATTGTTAAAAGTCCCATAAATACCGAGAAATTTACCCACGGCGAACTCTTTTTGAATGAGGGTTTTACTCTATCCACTGACAGACGCTCACGAGGAATCGTTTTACTAATATATATGTAGGGCAATAAGCATCTCCAAGATTTTAATTAGAATAGAAAACTGATGGGTCCTTGGGATAGATGTGAAAGCTTTCGGAGGCCTTCGGGATGAACTTCACTTTAACTACTTTCCAAACCCTAACCAATGCAATTGTTAAACGAAATTTAACTCCCAGCTGTGAAGGCGGCCCTTATAAATTATATGTGCATTAGGGTGGTCCAAAAATGCACAGGAAAATTTTTTGTTTTAAAATAAATTAATATTCCCGGACTTTGAAGTTTTCCGTATATTTTTTATGGGGAAAATACTTTTTTGGTAGAATTGCCATAAAATCCTTAAGAATAAAAATTTTTTTATTGATCAAAAATATTTCCTTTCAGAACACTTTCAAAAATAAAATTACGATGCAAATTTAACCCTAAAACTTTAGGAACTATGTATTTAAAAAAGAAAACTGCGTGATGTGGTTCCGAACACATAAAGTAACTAATTTTTGTAAATAACGGTTGCAAAAATGTAACTAATCAAATTTTAAAGTCAAGTATGCATCATAGATTTATTGTTTGATGATTTGTGAAAAGAAAATTTCAAAATTCTACTTCACATTTCAAGTTACTACAATTTGAATCCAGTGTTTGCGGAAATATCGTAGTTTTTGAATTTTATGAAAATACCGTTCTATGGGGAAAAATGCGAACCATCCTAATGGGAATATGTATGAAAGTATAAATACCGGATTCCATGGAATAATTACTTCTAAAAAAGTGGAGTTCCTCGACCTTTCGATTTTAATTGTTTGCTTGGAGTAGACTACTGAACATACATATGTACATATATGAATGTGTATTAAGGTGATCCTTAAAATATCAATATCATGGGGAATTCTTTGTTTTGTTTTGTTTAAAGACATCCACGATTATTTCAAAATTGAAAAAATATATGGTCGCTACCAAGGTATGAAATTATTAATATTATTTTTTTTAATCGAAAAATACGAAAAAATTTAGACTTCGACCAGCTATAACTCAGGGAGTTTGTGAAATTATATGGATGAGATTCAATAATAAGTAAACTTTTCCAGATTTTGTAAAATTTTTGCAATTTAAAAATAAACACTTAAATTTTTTTAAATACCTTTTTAAAATTAAAATTTTTCGAGGATAATTTTATTTTGGCCGGAGAACAAAATAAAAGTGTGCCCCACTCAAAATTTTTATGTTGATATTATAAGGATCACCCTGAAGTTAATGTATTTACATCTGATATTTGTTCAATAAACTAAAATTTTTTATGCGTAGTTATAGGTGTTAACAAAGACAATCAATTAATGAATAAAGCAAATAACGCTCCAGCAGAGCTACGCAAGATGCCACCACTACTAAGGCTGCAGTAAAGAAAGTGTAGAGCTCATTTTAGAAAAAATAATTAGTACCTTTCTAGCGACAATTAACACTTCCAATGAAAGATTTGCAATACTTTTCTATAAAAGCAAAATGATTTTGGCAAATTTTCAACATTTTGAAAATAGCGAGATGAAGGTTTGGACTTACGGTGGGTTGATAATTTCGAAGAGTTAATTTTACTTTATATAAACCCCTTACTCAGTTCAACACTAAAATTTTATAAATTTATAAAAAATTAATCGATATCAAACTTTCATTCAGCGCCTCATATCCTCGCTATATCTTTCATATACTCTTGCACAAGTGCAGCGGCGCGCTGTTTGCCTGAGAATGCCAACAAAAAGGATGATTCAACGCCCAAAACGTCGGCAGCAGAAGCACTGACTGGAACGCAGATCTCAATAGCCATCGTCACTGCAACAACCCCTGTCGCTGAGAGAGTAACGTCTACGCCTAGTATAACAGCAGCCTCAAAGCCAGCAGAAGTTACTACAAATGTTGCTGTGCAGGAGCTGCTTACTAACAACGTCATGCGCGTGCAAACTCCAGCAATGCAAACGATTACAAAAGAAAATTTGCCTGCATCCAACACCAACGACGTTACTTCGGATTCAATCACTCCATCACCGCATAGTCTCATCACCGGCGACGTTGAGTCAGGCAAAGCCGCCGGTCCTATAGTTTTGGGTTTTATACAAACGCTGTTGCAGAAGAAGCAGAATGCATTGCATAATTTCAGCACAACCACAGCATCGACCACATCTACCACCGCTAGTACCACCAGTACTACAAGCACCACCAGCACTACAAGTACTACTACTACGACGACTGCGAGTCCGTCGACGACTAGTACTACGTCCACTACCACTACCACCACAACGACTCCAGCATCAACAGGTTGATAGGAAAATACCATATCCATCGAGGATTCCACATGTTTCCCCTTAATCACTTTGTTATATACCTACTATGTACATACATATATTTTTGTTAAGGGACTATATTTATCAAAATAAATTTTCGAATCATAATACATATATATAGAGCTACCAGATAGATATTTTATATGTAGAATTGGAGAACTCGACCCATTTTCGATCTTTGCAAGATATTTTTTCATATCGATGGTCGTCTGCAATAACGACACGACTAAAAACTAAAAAAAAACCTTACTACTGCACAGTGGCACATGTCTCCAATCCTTGTCTAATCCCTACTAAGTATTTATGACTGGATAACTGGATGAAACATCCTATTTTCTGACTGCCTCCTATTTGCCGCTAATTTCAGCACCTAACTTTACTAAGACAGGCCCCATGTAAGTCTTGAGTTGATCTACTTAGAGCAAAGGTATTTTGAGCGGTTTTTAAATTGATAAGGATGGAGAATAAGGTAACATTTAATACTCTCACAATCTCCATTTGTTAAATTCAAAGTCCGTGGAAACATCGCTTCTTTTAGCCTGGCGATCCAGTTTAGCATTTTTTTTTTATCGCTTTTTAAATTTTTGTCAAATCACTTTGCAAAATACTTTCCTTCTACGGAGTCTAGTAGTAGACAATCTTCTACAGTTGATATCGAAATAAAATTGGCGGCGTTCGAACATTATTTGTTGAGCATCTTCTACGCTTTGACATAACAAGTCGGTGGTAACACCGTACACAATTCTTGAAAGGTAATCTCTAAGGCAATCATGCTCACTACGGATCTGCGTTAACTGAAAATTATGTGGAAACCGCACTCCATACGACCTATATTATTCTATGGCGTTACAAACTGGTGAACCATATACTCCGTTAGCCATGCAGTTATTAAGTCACTGAATTGTCAAAGTTTAGCTTACAAGTCTACTATCCACATTGTGTGGGTGCCTAGACACAGGGGAATAGAAGGTAACTGTACAGCTGACGAGCTTGCGATGAAGGGAATCAAATTTTTTGACCTCACCTCTTCTCATAATGCGTTCATACCGCTATCTACGTGCAAAATGTGGCTTAAAACACACTTAATCGGAAAGGCAAATAAAATATGGTCGCTGAAACCTACGTGTTGGTAAACTTGACAAACTGGCCCAGCTTCGACAAGGAGAGATCTACGCACACATTTTGTTAAAGCGCCCTCTATTTAGGCAAGTGACCGCAATAATAATGAGTCACTGCTTGATGAGTAGGCATGCTGACAGAATGGGTTTGCCGGCCAATAAAATCTGCCTAAGCTGTCGCGACGTGGAAGAAATTGACAGTCTTTGACATTACCTATGCATTGCCCTGCCCTATTGGGCATGAAGACTGTCTGTTTGGAGGACCTAAGCGAAGCAGGCAATAACGAATTCTCGCACCTAACATAACCCACAAGTTCTGCTTCTAGGCGAACGGACTGGATCGAAAACGAGCTCGCAATTGACACCCTCCAACATTGGAAGCAGCCAGCCGATAACATAACCCAGCTGGGAATTGAGGCCTCCATATTTCTTATCTGTCTACTGATCAATATTTGATATTAGTGTGGGAGTCTTCCAACTACTGGATGAAGTTTTCCAACGTATATTGCTGGCTTTTTTATCCCATTCTAGTATTCGTTAGCAGCACCTAACGAAATGACGGTGCTCTAATATGAGGCTCAACGTCAACCCAATTAAAACGTCAATTATACTTTTTACCAGATAAGATGTACATATGTAAATCAGGATAGTGCAAACTGTGATAACATATGTGTCAAGGCTGGAGCGCTAGAGGTAGTCTTAGAGATGTAGCCTGTACACTTAACCATAGAGAAGGCGGCAAAACGATCTCTACTTAACTTCGCCTAGACCCTAGTCCCAGAGATGGAACACCGGGAGCAATAGTATTCGAAGAGATTCAGTATAGAACTGTGCAGGAAATCTACATGTATTTTGGAAACGCATCTCCAGATTTGTTCATTACCTGGTATACAGTAAGCTGAAAGTATACTAGCAGGCATAGTTGGTCCGAGAGCAAGGATATCGGCCATGAACAGATAAAAGTTGTTTATTGTCCATCGGCAATTGGTAGATAAGTGTTTTCATTCCTTCCACTCGCTAGGCTAGGCTAATTCTGAATACGTTGCAAAGCTCTTCTGACCATGGGAGAACCGGAAGCTGCCAAAGGAAGTCCTTAAACCAAAGACAGTCAAAGGAGTGGCTTAAACTACTCAGTACGCAATTATCGACATCGATGGGTATTTTGATTGGAAACTGTCGGATAAGAATTCATGCGATTATGGTCTGGAAAAAAATCTTTGGAAAATTTTCATTGACACATTTCTTGTAAGCATGCAGTGGGTTTCCAACCGCCTACCTTTATTTCCTAACGATTCGTTAAACCTGTACTCCCCCTCTTCCTCCTTTCCTATCCTTAAAAATACACATTAAAACACCAACCATTTTAAAAGGATAAATATTTATTTTCTAATATATCAGCCCGTTAAAAGAAGTATATGTATTGTTTAAAAATATGTATGTATCACCTAACTATGCCTACGTGCAATTACTTCTTAACAGCCAGTCTGTGCGTGTGACTCCTAACTTGCTGGAAAATAGAACCACCAGCTGGCTTCGACTGATTACTCTCAACTGGTTTGAGCACACTATTCTCCTCCGCCTTTGTAGCATCGTTAGCCTTCACAAGCTTGTCGGCTGCGCTAATTTCCTTTGCTGGCGTAGCAATTGCATTGCTCTCATCTTCAGGCTTGCCAACGTACACGTCTTCCGCCGCCTGAACTGGTTTCGTAGCAATGGGAGAATTCACTTCACTTTTAACTGGTGCAGCCGTCGATGCCTCATCCAACGCCTCGGCTTCAGCTTCCGCTATCTGATCGCCAATCTTGTCTAATGTCTGCAATGCAACATCCAACATTGCGTCTTCCTCCGAAGAATCATCTTCCTTACTTTTTCCATCTTCTGGCTTCTTCACTTTTTCAATGACCGTCTTTGTCTCCCTAAAGAATGGTGATCTTTTGAATTTGCGCGCCGCATATGCCACTTCCTTAGGGTTCGTTTGCTTGCATTCTTCGAATGGCACATCCAACCAGAGGCCATGGGTGCGACACTTAGCCACATTCAATTTACATTTGTTATAGAAAACTGCCAACTCGCTAGGCGTTTTACCGCAGATTGGATCGTACGGCTCTACGCAATCGTCATCGCAGAGAAAGCCATCCTGTAATGCGATAGCGCTTCTACTAATGGCGGCTGTGTTTGCCTTCGTGCAGGCCTCACCTTCGCAAGCATACCAAGCAATGGGTATGCCCAAGTAGGGCGGACTGCGCAGCGTTGAGATTGGGTAACTGGCGGCGGAGTCGTTGAGCGGCAAGAAGGTGCGCTTGACGTAGTAGCCGTGTTCCTCGGTGGCGAGCTGTCCACCACTGCGGCCCAGGTCGGATGAAGAGGACCACTTAGTTTTGGTTTTAGTTTTATTCGATGGCGAATTGGAGGATGCGGATGATCTGTGTTTCTTATGCCTCTTCGCGTTAGCAGCCGAAATGGCGAGTAGCAAAATGAGCACTGGAAGACAAACAAAAGAAATTTTTTAGCTGCTGCATTTAAGCAAAGTGGTTTCNAGATGAGTAAGGCAGCCGGTTTATTGTTAATTGGGTCAGTGGATTTTTGTTTTGATTTGCCGCCTTTTTGCTTTTTGGCGTTGTTTTGCTTGAATAAAATAATAAAATTGAAGAACCCAAAAAGAAGTTTTGAGGGAAATTGAAATGCTTTCGTTATTGATAAAAAGAAATTGTATAAAGAGTACCTACGAATGGACATACATACATTTGTATGCATGTCCGCAGGTACTTGTGCTTTGCATCAGTTCAAGTCCATTACTTTCACCAATTCGTCACGTTATTGCTAACTTCATCATTTTCGGAGTACATATTGCGAAAAAGTACGCTTCAAATCCACGAAACTATAAAATAAAAATAAATGGAAGTTTAACCGAAACTTTTCACATGATCACGCTTACTTGTTCGCTGTCAGATTTTCGTCCGGTTGTCCTCCTACGATTGCCATGTCTAGATGTTCCCTAGCGAATTCGTTGAAGGCTTATTTGAAGGATCTGGCTCCTTTTGGGCCTATTTGAGGAGAACTTGTTGTTTTCGTTGTAGCGGCATTAATAAGCCTCGCCTAGATCGGTTTACCCATCAATTGCTGTCGACAAGCTCAACTAACGCTATATCCAGGAAAGTGCTTTTTCTACGGGGTTGGACCAGAGGGAAAGTGATACTAGCTGCTGGGTACTCATTGCGTACGTCGGGGTCGAGTTTGGTTCAATATCTGTTGATACCGCTACAGTATCCAAACTCTAATCGGGCCAGAGTGATGTGCATCTCATCTGGCTGCTAAAGCTCTGTTGGCAATAGATAGAGATTGGGTTCCTATCACGGCATTAATAGGGTGAGAGTCGCAGAAGTGGAGACAGACTATCTATGAATGCCATTGATAGCTCGTTTATCGGTTCCATTGGTTGTTCTATATAGGTCTGGTCTGCGTCCTTATATTTGAAAAGATGAATGCTGACGTGCCTGGGTGGGAAGGGACTGCTCGGGTGCTTGCATCTGTAGCAGCCTACCAGAAATTGCTTGCTGAGCGTATTGTTGTGCTACCTAACGGAGAAACTTTGGGTCACGCTATGCAGATGGTATTCAGGCGACATTCGAAGGCATCCTGTCGCAAGGCATGCTTAGTCCAATGCTTCCCACTTGTCCCCGGCGACCAAACTGGCGTAGCAGAATTCATTACCGGCGTGAAAATGCTCATACACTGGGATTAATTCGGCATCGTAATCTCTCTTCTATTACAAATCTGACATCGAGTTTGCAGCTCTACATAATAGACATCACAAATTTAGACGTATTTTTTTCCTTGCTCCGTCTATGGCATTTATTGGCTGGCGGTCATGTCAGCCTAAGAATTCCCGACCACGATAACCACCCGAGCGGAGGCATCTTCTCTAACAAGTGTCTGTACAGTACTTTACAAAAATAAGACTTCCGCACAGTCAAGCAAACTATAAGCGCATATCCAGTAGCCTCACTATTCTACATTGTACTCTCCAAGATGATAAATACCCTTCCAACTAAAAGAAGAAAAATGATTTAAAATGGTTAAAAAATAAATATTTGGAGCTCGCAATCTTGGCAAGTGTTTGGACGCGCATCTATCACACAAATGGATGGACTTATAACGCGCCTCCTAAAGGCAAATGGCTTTTAATACAAAATATTGTTCTGAATGTAGAACAATTTTACACTTTTCATACTCAAGGTCATTGCTAAAAAATACAAAAAAATCCAACTTGTAGGCTGTGCTGATATGCTGCTATAACATAATCGGAAGTAAATATGTATTATGTGCTAATGTATATATGTCTGCTCACATTACTTTTATAAAAAATACATATGTAGTGAAATCTGTAAAAATTGTGTCATGCAAATACATACATACATACATATGTGACTTGAAATAAAAGAACATTATTTCAATTCAAAGCTTCGCCTTCTAAACAGATCTTTAGGATTGCGAAATGGTCATCGTATGTAATACGAATGCATACATACATATACACTGATAGAGCAACTGTTAAAACGATTCAAAACTTAAATACTTTTTCCATAGCTACGGCAAATAAAGTGCGGAGTAATAAAGTGTGGCGTCTGCTCAGAAATGGCTGGCGAATGCAAGCGGAATTAGAAGATTAGAACAAAAAAAAGCATTCATGGGTCTCGGTAAAGTGGCAATTGCGTAGATTAGAGGTCCACAAACATACACTAATATGTACATACATACATACATATTTTTATGGCTGGTGATGGGGCTATTGGCTGCCCGAGATGATTTGAATTATCATTTCCTCAGTTGCGTGGCGGTACTTGGTGATCGAGGAACTAAATTTTAAAAATATTAAAAAAAAAAATTTAGAAATGAAATAACTTCAGCAAAAAATTTTAATTAAAAATTTTCTAATAATGACTTTCGCAAAAGTAGCGCTTTCATTCCTTTTACTGGCGTTCACGTTGGCTTTTGGGCCGCAACCAAGTTTTGCTAGGATTTCAAAGAGGCAAAGTGGTGTGTGTTTGTGTTAAATATTGTTCAATTACACCTTGCGATAAAACTAAAAAAACAATTCCAAACACTCAAAGCAATCAATATATGTACTTACGCAACTGTGGGCCAAATATAGTAAAATTACGTTTTTAGTTTTTCTCTCTGAATTCAGATATTTTAAAAGAACTTTGTAGTTTCAAAGATACAGATTAATTCCAATAGTTATTTAAAAAAAATCAGTGCAATGTAGAATAACAACATCGGTATCAACTGAAATTTTTTTATAAAAAATTTAAATAATTTTATTTTTTTAAGCTAACAAAGTTTGAAAGGCGAAATTCGGGATGTGGTCGACTGTATAGTAGTCCTTAATATATATATATATTTTTAACAATTATTGCAAAATTTTAAGGATATTCAAGGACACAATTTTAAAAGGACATTTTCCATACCAACTCGTACTTATACAACAAAACATTTGGTCAGCTCTAATTCTACAGAATTTTTTCTTTAATTTGCTACCCATACTTATTTTCTACATTACGCTGATTTTTTTTAACAATTTTTGAAGTAATCGTATTTTTCAAATTTCAAAGCCCTTTAAAAAATCCTGGCGCCAGAGAGAAAAACTACAAAAGCAGTTTTACTATATTTGACCCATAGGTTCGGGAATATATTGATGTTCTTTTTTTGTATAAAATTTACTGTCGCACCATGTTACGAGTGTTTTTAAAATTTAATAAGTGAACGAAGTACAAAATTCACGCAAAATTTTATTTATTTTTAAATGTCGTCGGTAGAATTTCGCATCGATATAGAAATATAAAATAAAAACGTTCCTATTATCGATTACATCTTCAACGTGCATACTACCTCGTTTAATCGTTCATACAGGCGAACGTATTTTAGGCGAGACTGGCATAATTTTGTCAATCGGGGTTTCTTGATTTCTAAAAACTTTGTAAACGAGGATATTGAGTCTATGCGCCTACTATGGAGAATAATTAGACTCTGACTTAAAAAAAAACTAAAAATTAAATTCTCAAATTAAATTAGCTTGAAAATTTTTCTTAAAATGTTACATAAAAAGAAGGCAGACTCAAAAAACAAAGACTAGTCCTTAGTGTTCGTTTATGTTGAAGTGAATAAAGAACAGTAAATATGCACACACAAGCGTTGATAACCTTAATATTTGACACTATTTCCTCATTCATCGAAGAGCTTCATAAGACACATATGGCGCGCTAACACAAATGTACATACTGCATACATATGTACATATATACATACCAGCTTTTACCCGCGGCCCCGCCCGCGTCTTATATTATACGACATAACGTTATGCTATAAAATTTTACAGCGCACCTCAATCTGTTATACGGAATGCCATAGAATTATGCTAATCATTTTAAGCTCTTACTCAGATGGTTATTTTAATCGGCCAGTATAGATATGGTGATTAATTAAATAATTTTTGTATTTTTAAACAGGTGGCAACTCGTTTCAAAAATCCTTTCGAAATAAAGTTTTTAAGCTTCTCTAGTTTTATATCTAATTAACTTGTTAACCAAATTGATTTTGAATTTCTAGATAGGTTGGCAAACCTATTCGAAAATATAAGTAAACAAATAAATATTTCTTAAACTCTTTTCGATTGACTCCTACATATGTACATACATATGCATGCTACAAAAGTTTGAATTTACTTATTAGCTAAATTAATTTTAACTTTTTAACCAGGTATCAACCCCGTTCAAAAATATTTTAGAAATAAAGCTTACTGAAAGCTGTATTGTTTGACACCCATATTAAAATATTTAATTTAACTTGTTAATTAAATAATTTCTGAACCTTTAAACAGGTGGCAACAATATTTTGAAACATTTTTCAAATGAGGCTTTCTAAAACTTCTCTTGCTTGATAACTAAATTAATATTAAAATATTACGTTTAAGAACATCTAGGTAAACAGGTGGGAACCTTCTTCAAATATATTTTATCAATAAGACTTTATTAAAACTCTTTCGTTTGACACCCATATTAATATATTTCATATGACTTATTAATTGATTTCATACCTAATTTATACACAGGTGGCAACCTTCTTCTAAAATATATCTCAAAATAAAACTTTCTTAAATCTCTCGTGTTTGACACCCATATTAAAATATTTCACTTGAATTTTTATTTCATTTGATTCAGAATTTCTGAGCAAGCGGCAACCATCTTAAAAAATTGTTTCGGGATTAAATTGCTTTTGAACACCTTTTCTTTGCCACCAACATCGTTGTAACGTTTTATTTAACTTTTTAATAAATTTGTTACAACTTTTGAAAAAGGTGGCAACTCTCTACTAAAAATATTCTGTATCTTAACTTAGATTTCGCAACGTTTTCGATCGATCTACCAATCGTATTTAAAGTTTTGTTTGCATGAGTTTTCTAAAAAACTATTTCCATAATTTCTTTATCTTAAAGACGACTTCGATTTGGCTTATGATGACAACGATTTTGTGCCCGTGAGTCCTTGTAGCGTGCAGCGTGCTGGCGATCCCGATCTTACCAATTATGATATCATCTCTTCATATCATTTCGATGACTACTATCATCAGTATCAGGGTGTCCGGCAAATAGTCGGTTCGTCTGGCTATCAGACGGCCTATCATTTTGAGGAGTACTCCAATATGACTATCGAGTCTCGGCAAGCATTCCCGAAAGGTGTGCCCGATGCATTTTCTTTTGAATGCACGTTTCGTGTACCCGAATACGATCCGCCAAATGAGTGGTACTCTTTGAGCTCTCAGATTACAGATATGAGTCACAAATGAGTGTAATCATGAATCCGATTTATAATGCTCTGGAATTCTCGTTACCCAAATATGATGGTTCGCTACAGACGGTCACATTTGAGGAACTCGAAGTAATTTCAATAATAATTCCAGATGTTCATACCTGTGAGAATAATAATTTTTTTTTGTTTAAATCAGATTTTCGATCATTCATGGCACAAAGTTATGCTGGGCGTGACTCAAGATGCTGTGCGTCTTTGGGTCGATTGTGAGCCTGTACCAGATCGAAATGGCAGCTTGCATACACCGCTTGACGTGCGTAGCCCCATCGATTCGACGGAGGGTGTCTTCGCGGTAGCACGAGATTGCAAGACTAGAAGCACTGTGCCGGTAAGTTAAGTCAATCTGGACTAATCTGGACTATTTATGAATATGACATTACGGAAACCGTTTCCCTGCCTAGATTGATTTGCAATGGATGATCTTTAGCTGTGATGTTGATAAACCTGAACGCGCAACCTGTGAAGATATACCTAAATACGCGAAAGCTCCCAAAGCATTGGTGGAAAAAGAACCTGTTCCCACACCACGTCCGACACCTCGTCGTCCTGATCTAACATTCCTCACGACCAGCACTTATCGGCCCTCCTTCTTGAGTTCCACACCTTCTGCACTGCAGGGCCAGGAGCTGCATGCATGTCCCGAAGTATGTCCAAGAGGACCACCAGGCCCGCCAGGACCACCTGGTATACACGGTGTACAGGTAAGTGAATATAAAGGAGGCAGAGGCAGCTGAAGTAAGAATTAACTTTGTGTTAAAGGGACCTCCAGGTACGCCTGGCCAATTAAGTCCGTATGCCAATCAATTGGATGGCCGCTTGAGTAAAGGTGAGAAAGGGGAGCCAGGCGCCGTTGGCTTGCCTGGCGTAACAGGTCTAGCAGGAGAGCGTGGCTCGCCAGGAGAACCAGGCTATAGTGGATTACCGGGTATTAAAGGAGAACCTGGAGATATAGGACCTCCTGGACCTCCGGGACCACCAGGAGTTCTTATATCAGGCGAGGATAGTGATTCTTCAAGTAGTGCATCTAGATTACCAGGACCAAAAGGTGACGTTGGCCTAACCGGTGTCATGGGGCAAAAAGGAGAGCGTGGCTTGCCAGGTTTGGACGGCAGTACGGGTGAGCGCGGTGAAATTGGACTGCCAGGCGAGAAAGGCGAACGTGGCTATCCAGGTCCAGTTGGACCACAAGGACCACCTGGTCCGCCCGGTGAGTCTGGCACAGTGCAAAATGAAATTAGAAATATAGAAGAGCGTGAAATACGAGAAATCTGCTTAGCTGTTGTAAGAGGTAAGAGATTCAAAGTACTTTGTTTGAAGTCTTATCATTTGCAGTATTGGCGCTTTAGATTATATCAGCGAAATCTCTTCGACACTGACGGGTCCACCTGGGCCGCCAGGTCGACGTGGTTACGGACGTCCGGGACCACCAGGTAGTCCAGGCATACAAGGTTAGTAAACATTGTTTTGAAAAATACGTCTTTAAATTTTTTTACATCACTTAATTTTTTCTAGGCGAACCTGGTCTTCAAGGTCCGCAAGGTGAACGGGGCTACCCTGGTCTTCCTGGTATGCAGGGACCACAAGGTGAGACGGGATCTCGGGGGCTGGAGGGCCAAAGGGGTGATCGTGGCGAAGATGGCGTAGGTCATCCAGGCCAAATGGGTCCACCTGGCCCACAAGGACCTGAAGGTCGTTGCGTGGATGGTTTGCCCGGTAGACCCGGTGAACCTGGCGTGCCCGGTGCACCAGGCGAACCAGGCGGTCATGGACCACCTGGACAGCCAGGCGTGTGCCCGGACTGCAATGCTTATCAAGCAGCATATGCCTACCCACTGTTGCTTGCGCAGCAGCAACAGAATAATAAAGGTCCACCGAATTACTACAATAAAGGACCACCAGTGAATTATTATAATAAGGGTTAATATGCAGAAATTGATGTTTTTTTTTTATAAATGCGTGTTTAAAACGTGTAATAAAATTAAACGGGTTTTTTTGGAATTTTTAATGTGAGTAAGATTTGAGTTTTAGAATAAACCCGACTACATATATAAATTTAAGTTTTCTGAAGACCAAAGAGTAATACAAATCTCGAGGAAAGCTAGAAAGTCGTTTGGTTGTCAAAGTAATGAGATATTGACACTATATTTTTTCACAGCGGAAGTTCACTCCAGAGACATTTTATGAGCACATCTGCGGCATAGGAAAAGAGGTCTTAGGCTCTAAGTTTCTCTATTTCGCAGCGGTAGTAACAAATGGCAAAGTTTGCATTTTATGACTTCGGTAAGCCTTTGAAACCCCATCGGGAAAGCATTAAGACCTTCACTGGTACTACGCTTTCGCCTGTGGCTTACCTAACGTCGCTTTCAACGGTTTTCGGCTTTCGGCTTTAACTCAACGTAAAAGTAGCTTTCGAAATGCACCGCAACTTCCGAGATGTAGTAAAAGACGATTTCGTCTCCTCCCTGTTAGAACCTCCCTAGGGAAGTGCCCGCGTTCGAAGTCGACTTTGATGTCAATGGAAGACTGTTTTATGGTTTGTTTATTCATGTTGATTGGGTTTCCACCCAGATCCGATATCTAAACCCGAAAGCATTGTCGCCTTCATAAGGTCCCACGGTTATCTATGGAATTTATAAGCTACAGCTGTTTGGTTGACATGGGGGCATCTAAGGAATAAACCCGCCATTCACTTGTGCTTAGTATTACCTCAGCTGGTGGGACATCTCAACCGCCAGCTTAGAAATACAATACAGAGTACAGTTCGAATAAAAAAACCGACATCAGAGAGCAAAGCTAAGTTCGTTAGCGTTCATTAAAGGCCATGAAGTTCGAAAGCCATTTAGCGTTACTTAGAACGATCTGAGCGCAGATGGCCTACTCCATATTTCCCAAGGCAGACCCATAGGCAGACAAAAATATTTTGTAAGACTGAACATTTCTATAAAAGGCGTTTATTAAAGCCGATGTCGCCATTTCGAAACCCTATAAATTGCCAGCAGTCTCGTCTATTATACTGACATAGTATGAGAGCAGATGCCTACATAGGTAGACATGATAAAAACCATGATACAAAAAAAAAAACATTTCGGGCGCCATATTAACTACATGACAATTAAGCAGATTGTTACATTTCATGCTACCATACCTAATCCTCAAAAATTATATGTTTGTAAAAAAATAAATAAATTACAAAATTGGAAGAAATTTGTTATTCGATTGGAGCAACAAAGAGAATTGAATTTTATACATCTTACCAAGGTCTTCTGTGAAACTAAAGACCGGTAAAAATGCTGCCCATCCAAAAAATTATTTATTATTAAATTTGTTTATTACACAGCCAATCATCCAAAATAATTTTGATGTGCTTTGCAAACGGAAGCCCAAGTAAGTCTTTATTTTCGGAGCCTCGTCATATCATAGAATTGTCTATTTTATAGTTAAGGACGATGATATTACTAGACTTTCTCGCAATAATTTTTATTAAGATATACGCAAATGCATTGCGATCTAGCTGAAGATTATAAAAAAATGAAAGACTACTTCGTACAACAGATAAGAGTTAAACGTCATATGGGAACATCAAAGAGTTAGCATATTTAAAACAATTTGGCAAATCATTTATGTAACCCATTAGCAACAATTTTCATCATTGCAACGTGTCGACATTCATAACACACGATCCGAAAATTGTTGCTACGAGTTTCGCGAACCAACTTCTTTTGTATATAAAACTTACTGTAAAATATGACGAAAAAATATTTAAAAATATTATAGACATTTACATTAGGGTGGTAAAAAAAAAAGTAAAGTCGGAATTTTAATATTCTCACCCCTTAGGATTGTGCTATACCGAAAAAAATATACACCTATTTTTTCAAATTTTAAATCAAGAAACAAGAAAAATTGAGCTGCTTATTTCCTGAGTGCAAAAGCACGAAATACATATATCTGCAAGGGGACTGATGAAAAGTTTCAGCAAAGAAATTGAGAAAATTACAACATAGATTAATGTTTTGTTACATGTTACATATTATGTAAATTTGTGTATTCGGTTTAAAATAAATAATTGTTTAAAAACTCAATTTTATTTGATTTCCTCATCTCTGCACGTCGATATTCTTCAAAAGTAATTTTTACGCTTGAGAAAAACGTTGAAATTTGTTTATCGATCACATCAACTTGCCTTTTTTACTCTTGTATTGAATTCCAAATATTAAAAAAAAAAATCTCCCTTCTCAAAAAATTCCAATGTTGCAAAGCTATGCTTAAGCTGATGCCAGATAAAACTTTGTAGCTTTGCGTGACATTTATAACTTTGCCAGCAAAGCGCCAGACGCAAAAGGTATGCCACAATGAACTCCAAGAAAACAATGTTGTACCGCTTTTTTACTCATCAAAGTTCTATTATTATGATTAATTATACAGAATTGTTAGTTGCATAACGAATTGGACAACAAAAATATAAACCGGCGATGTAAAGCGGCAAAAAATGATACCTCTTTCCTCCTCGCTCAATTAGGGATTTGCATTTTATACACATCTACTGTCAGGAATCTGTACTAAGGAAGCAATTATACATAGCTTTAATGTTAATCATGCTCTCAATTCGTCGGCCATGATTTTTTTTGACGTTTGCAAACATTTTAAAATTCTATAAAATTGAAAATAAAAAAATGAAAATGTTCGAAATTGTGGTTGTTTGAGATTAATTAATTAATTAATGAGAATTTGTGTGTGAGCTTGAGTTGAATTTTAAAATTATATTGTTGGCAAACGTCAGCCTGCTTATCAATGATTTTACCTTGTAATGTTTTTATCATGTACGTAGCTCTTAACAGATTGAGAGCAACATAAAAATGGCTGGAGAAGTAGTTGGGATGTAGTTTCGGAAAGATGCAATTGGCGATTGTGTATCTTCGGCCAAAACCAACAATTCGTTGTGGTACCTTTTAGGTAGAAGACATATATCAACATATGAAACAACCTTCTTAAAAATCATCTGGAACTCAGAGCCAACATAAAACTGAAGGCATCATTTTTTTATTATATCATCAAGATCACTCAAATGCGCTGATGCCGAGGTCTACTGATAGAAGCTTGCCCCCTTACTAAGCTCTTTTAAGCTTTCTATATTAAATGTGTAAAAAGCCTTAAAAGAGCTTTGCTCGCGGGCAGGCCGGTGCTAACCATCGTTCTATTGTACTAGATCAGATTGTTTTAAGGATGTTTATCGGTATAATTGTTTATATCGGGCATTCGGAATCCACTCTAATTTAATCGCTCGTACTAATAAAAACTCAGCCTCATCTCAGCTACATAAATATTTTAGTGAAGTGTTCCAGACAGCGATACCTGTCGGTTTTTTGCAGAAACCATAGCTAACAGAAATTCGCTATGAATAATGCATTAATAGTTTTTAATTGCAAGCGCTCAACCTACGGAGCTTTCTGTTTCTAACTTCCTACGTTCCTTTCACTTTTCCGTTTTTTTTTGCCGTTGTACTCTTCGCCAATTTTAAAAACAGTGGGAGATCACAAATTAGATTCTGATCGTTGACACAATTTCGATTTTGTTTTTGGCTATTCTATAAAAAGGTGAGAGGAACAGCGAAAATGTTTAGTTGTATTGAAAGTTCGCAACGATGAAGCAGTGGCACATTTTATCAGGTGTGTGGCGCATCAAATTTATCTTAGCGTAGTTTGGTTTTAAGTGGCTAAAATACACAATGCAGCAAAAAAAATTCAGCCTTATCACAAGTTTCATTTTCCCCGAACCGGTTCACTTTTCAACTTTTGTTTTAGTGTATTTACTATGGGCGGATGAAAAATTTTCGGGTGAATTTTTTTTTTTGGCGAAACTCAGGATAAGGCTGATTATGTTTTGTTTGTTTTGGTTTGTTTGTGTAAATTAAATAAAAAATTTACAATAATAATAAAAAAAAAAATATTTAATTATTTTAATTTCTTCAAAAAAAAAATGTAAAAATCTAGTTTTTTTCCTTATCAACTCGCTTATAACTGGAACGATTGCGCTACCCTATCAGCATTTAGTCACCATTGCTCCGGATGTCACCCTTGTACCACAAGAAACCGTTGTCGCCACGCAACTACAGGTGGCGCCTAGAGCTGATGGCACGCGCGACTATGAATTCAAAGAAGTGCCGGTAATTTTAAGCGCGCGTAATATGGAATTGATGCCTGCGGAAGAACACGACGTTGAAAAAGAAAGCGTAAACGAAAAAGTACAAGAAAATGTAGAAATGATAAATGGAGAAGTAAAATTGCAGACAGAAACTGAAAAGTCAAAGGAAGATGCAAATAATTTGAATTCAGCGGGTGAGGCAGTACAACCCGCAGTGAATGAAATCGACGAAAG